TTGTCTTTTGGCATGAATATTTCTTCCTTTAACATTTTCATGGGTTGGAATCGATTTAGACTTGGTGTGATTATTGCCAATCTTTGATGTCTAATAGATAAGTGATGATATGCAGGCGACGCCAACCAGTCAGTCCTTCTTGTTGCCGGTGAAGGTTTGGAGGCTTATCTTCCTCTTGCTGACATGGTGGATATACTGCTGAATCCAAGCATCTTGCCAAAATGCAAATCGAATATGACAGACTTGTGGCTAGCTTAAGTTCTCCTAGTGTAAGTAGTAGTCTGAAATGAATGTTTTGTATCCTTTTGGGGGGTGAAATGCAGAACAAAAGTTCATCAGTCGAGCTTCTATATAAATATATGAACTTATAAAAAAGTAATAATCTTGATTACAGGAAAATAAATAAAAGCTTCAATGAAATCTATCTCTGACATAAACACTCTATTCTGGGCGATCAATTTTCTTTTTCCGGGTTAATTTCTATCTGCCTGTATAACTTCTTATGGTCTCTCATTTCCCATTTCGCTTTTAACAGTTTATAGAGAAAGCTCCTGAGGAAATTGTTCAAGGGGGTTCGAGGAAAAGCAGCTGAAGCAGAGGAGAATTTAATGCTCACCAGAAATCGCCGAGCTTTCCTTCAATCCAAAGTTTTGGTGTCAAAATGAGTTTTTGGTGGCCAACTGACACAATTTTATCCAAGTGCACGTCCGATAATCCTCCATGCAATGTATACAACCGTGACATGGTTTTCTGTTGGATGTCCCGGATCGTCCTTTCAATTTTTCATGCTCTTCACTGCGTCATGGCCTGCTAGATGGAAAACGGATATGGCTAGGTTGTACTTGTGCAGATCCATATTCGCGAACAAAATGTTGAATAAATTTCTTTTATCTTGTTATTTATTCATTCTTGCTGCCTAGTTAAAGTAACATCATAACTTAGTTAAAGGAAAATGTAAAATAGATTCTGTAAGAATACCTCAATTAATACCATATTGTTAATGAAAATCGCAATGCGTCGAGGTTCGCCTCACAGTCTTATCTTGATCAAGTCGTAAATAAAATTCAACCTCGGCAAATGACCTTATTGTTGGCATTCTTGGAGTTCTGGCACTCCAACATTGTACCCAGATCTCTATAAATTTATTGATAAATGAAATGAATCCGTTCATGTTTTCAGTTATTCTTTATTAAACGTCAATCATATTCCACTTGTTTCTAAATTTGCAATCGAACACTACGGTAGAAGTACCCTTATAGCGAAGAGTCGAACTCCATAGAAGACTCGTGGAGGGAAGAACAAGTCAAGCTTATCCGTACAAGCAAATAAAAAAGATCACAATCAAAAGGGCATTTAGTTTTAGACAAAGATATGTCGACTTTTGGTTTGATGCCCATACGAGAGTTCTTGATATGTACGCGAAGATGATTTCTCATGTCTCCACATTTTTTTCCGTTAAAATCCAATTCAAAACTTGCTTGGTCGAATCCTAGGTGGAGTTCTTGGTGTGTATACAGTGGCAGATTTATCGTGGGAGCAGTAGGTTCAGTTGTCCCACACTAAATTTCAATTCCAAGATTTTGCAGAAAATCTTTAAAAAAAATTCCTATAGTTTTCAATTTTGCCCCATAATTAAAATTTTGTGAAATTTGTCCCCATAACTCTACAATCTTATATTCGCCCTGTGTGTATGTGAAGATGATATATTTTGGGCAGGTACACAATATATGTATGTATCAATTTTCAATTATATTCTTTTGTGCTCTTGGTATAGTCGACCCAATTTCAATTCTTTATTTCTTTTCCCGTTGATTTAATATTTAGATCGTATTACATGTTGATATTCTCTTAAAAATAAGTGCCACCTTCAGTTTCAAAGTACAACTTCGATAAATGCAAGACATTGGCACCTGTTGTGATAAGATGAAATGAATAAAACCCAAATAATTTGAACAATAAGGTATAAATAAAAGGTAAAATAGAAGAAAGAGAGGTACATAACAGCAGTGGTCCTCATTCTTTCAAGAGAGTTGCAATTGAGTCCCCAACATACCAAAAGGAGCCATGAAGTCTCTCCAGAATTATAAGAATTTTCTAATGTACAGTATATTCATAAACTTTTTTTCTTTTCATAATAACTAGCTTGAAATCAATAATAATTATTAGAAATAGAAAACACAAAATAAATTATACAAATTGTCATCACTTAATCATATAGTCTTATATTTTATTTCTCACCATATAAACAAGAGTTTGTGGTACCAATTAGTTTTATATGTTTTAATCCCCGTTTGGACCTCATTTTAACAAACTCATTTTATTTTTATTTTTAATTACATATTTTATAGGATTCACGATTTTTATCAACTTTTTAATCACGTATTTTATTAATTTTTATAAAAAATTACTAAGAACCTGTTTTTTTAATCAAAATAAAGCAACTGCTTGAGTAATATTTCGGCCCACTGATTGCACAACATTCTCACTATTGGGCTGTAGCACACTAAGCCCATACAAAATTGGCCTTCAAAAGCTATGTGGCCCAAACCACCTAGGGTTCCATTTTACACTATGCTGGCTGATCTCTCTAAGAAATTTCACACTCACTACGGAAGCCCAATAACAGCCCATTTACAGTTAAATCTCAAAAAATTGATCATTGGTGATATTTTTCCATCGCCTTTTTTCGAGCATAAGTTATTCCAGAAATGTTAAGAGTAGTCTTTATTAAGATTTGATGTTCCATATTAAGAAGTCAATCTTATTAGAAGTAGCTCAAATTGTTAAATATTGGTTAATATTTTTATATTTATTCAACGTGAGATTTATTCTTTAGCATGTCTCGCAAAATGGTGACTCGTTTAAGAATATCAATCTAGGAATCCATGTGTTTGTTTGAGATTAGTCGGAGCAAATTGTTCGTTGAAATTTAATAGACTATAGTACCATATTAATCTTCTGTTTGATTTAGATAAAAACCATATTTTTAGTAAATTTGGAAAAAAGTTGATGGAACGTGTAATTGAAAAAGTTCGTGGGTCTTATAAAATATGTTGTTAAACTTAATTAATGACTTTGGTTTAGATTTTAATTCAATTTTTAGTTGAATCAAACATGAGCTAAGACTTACCGAACATTATATATTTATTCGTTATGGAATTTATTCCTTAACGGCTCGAGTTCCAACTTCAAGCTCGATAGTATAATAGAAAATTAGGGGAAAATATAACTTTCAACTGTTTATCAGTGGGCTTTTTCCATTTGTACAGAAGAAGAAGCAACAGAAATTGGTCATAATAGACTAAAACAGAGGGCCCCAAGGTGTATTTAAATATTGTTAAAAATGGCGAGTCCCACCTGCTTGTGTGTGGTCCGGTGTATTTCTGTGGTGTCTAGTTTTAACGTAATTCTTGTCAGTGAACATTGAATGGTATTGCCACTAGCAAAAGTTTTGTTTTCCCTGACAAAATGATTTGACAGACGTTGTAATTAAAGCAATCCTGGAAACTTTGTTATTTCCTTGCAAATCTTTCCATCTTAATCACAAATGATTTTGGGCGGTTCTCATGCGTCTGTGTTGATTTGTTGCGCGTTAAAAGATACGTACTTGTGATCGTGATCATGATCGTGATCGTGATTAGTTGATTATATTGATTTTATCTGAATGAACGTGAGTTCTCTAGATAATACATGTTCGCCTTGGTATGAATTAAAATTTTGAAGTCGAAATTAGTAATTAAATTTAACTACATATTTTATGAGATTTACAACTTTTCAACCACACATTTTCCCATTTTTTATCGAAATTTATTAAAAATCCGATTTTAATATTCACCAAATAGGGACCGATAAATTTTCTCATTTAAAAGCGTAACATGTTAGTGAGTCTTCAACCTATGCCTATGTTTGTCTTTCATTAGAAAGAGTTTTGAAGTAGTTATTTTTTTTTTGAATATGTAGTTAAAAAGTAAAAAAAAAAATTGAATTTACATGTAAAATATTTTATCGTGTAAATGTATGATTTAAAATGAGTTTAAGGGGGAAAAAAAAGAATTTTAATTTAATGAAAGCAAACGTGAGCTATATATACACGAATTTTGGAAATAGACTTGAGCCAAGTCTTGATTTAGGAAGAAGATAAGGGCTCAAACGTCTAAATAGGAAGATTAAAGGTGGGCATATTTTCTCGGAACCAATGGAACTGTATTGAACCAAATAGAATCGATCGGTTCGGTTTTGGTTCCTCTACTAAGTGGGTCGATTTTGGGACAATACATCGAGAACCAGTTGGTTCTGGTCTGGTTCTTGGTATGCCTTGAGAACTAGTAGTGAACTCGGTTCTCCCAAATTTCTTATTTTGCTTGCACCACGATACATTAAATTTTTGAACATTAGACCCCAAAATTATTCTCACGTTAAGATTTTATTTTTTCATATGCTTCTTCTTCTTCTTCTTACATTTAATGGGTAAACAAAATTCAAATCTAAATAATTTTATAAATGCTTTACAAAGTCATAGTTTTAATATAGCTCAATAGGGAAAAAAATATATTTGTAGTTCAATATTTCATAAGAATTCAAAATTTTCATTGTTTCTAAAGTAATTGGTCATTAAGAATCAAGATCCTTAAGATTACTAAAGATAATCAGGATATTGTTATACGGATTTTCTTAAAAACTATTTTTCAATCGAAAATTTACCATTTATGCTATGTTTAATAGTTTATCATTTTTTTTCGCC